TAGTTTGGCTTTATAAGAAGCCTGTGTTCAACTAGCTGTCTAGCCAGCCCAGACATTTCCTAACAGTCTCATGCAAAGTAGTCCTTGAATTCTAGCAGTGTTAGCTTGACGGCGTTCTTTTGTTCTTTATCTAGTAGTGAGCTCATGAATGTGATCCTCGGCTCTTCTAGGGATCCAATGTTTACTTCTTCTAGTGGATACTAGACTTCTGGGGCTATGTCTTCAAATTTCAAAGGTGCAGGGTCTAGCTCGTGCAGTTGTGCTATCTTTTGGGTTTCATCTTCATGTACGACTTCGGTCCTACAGATCTCAGGTCTGTAGTCTTCTAGTTTCTCTTGTATATTGTGCAACCATAGCTTTTGAATAGCCACGGCTGCTATGGCCTTTCCTCTATTTGTTTTAGTCATCAACTAATTCTATGATAGGCTCATGCCTCTGTGAGGTTAGAGGCACTATAGCGTCCGTTGTTGTTCTGCATGAAAGGATTCCTTGAGCCTTTCAGAACATAAACGGGCCTACATCAGTGTTGTAATACCTCGCATCCATGAAATCAATGGCTACTATGAATGGCTTGTCTTCAGCTTAGACTACTTCTACCTCCTCTCCTTTCCACATAAGGAGCATTTGGTGCAATGAAGAAGGTACGCATTCATTGGCATGGATCCAATCCTGACCTAGGAGGGCCTGGTATTGTCCTGTGGTACTGATCACAAAAAAAGCTGTCAATAATGACTTGGTCCTGACATCAACCTGTAATGGTAGTATGCCAAGGACCTTAGATGTGGTCCCGGTAGACCTTATAATTGATACCTTAGTCAACATCAGATCATACTTTTCTTGTCCCATCTTGATCATCATACAGGCTGGTAGAATGTTCAATGCCAAGCCATTGTCCACGAGGACCCTAGTCATTAGCCTCTCATCAAAATGTGCCCTAATGTATAAAGGCTTCAGGTGCTGTGTCATCTTCATGCTGGGTTTCTCCAGGATGGCTCGCTTTAGTTTTTCTTCTATTGCTTGCAAAGTAACTTGGCAGACGAGCTCTGCAATCTCTTCTTTCTATGCCTGCGTGCTTACAAGTTCATACCCTTCTTCTTCTCTTGGCTCCATTAGGCAATATTGATATGGGCCCATCTATGTCGGCCCCAAGGAGTTCTATTTTTGATGGCCCTTGGTACTACTAGTGGTGGACCAAAATTGAGAAGGTAGTGTTAACGAGAGCACGCAGCAAAGGTTGAGCGATATCTCTTTAATGTGAATGGTCCCATTTTTTTAATTTTTGACCCCGCTTCCTTTGTCTTGATCCTCGTGGACTTCCTTCTGAATTTGCTAGCCTCCTGTTGAATGTCGGGGCTATCCTATACCTCAATTTTTTACTGTTCAAAGTACCTTTGTGTAGCACACTTTCATTGAAGACGTCACTCTTGGGTTCTTATTAAGGTAGCTGGGAACTTCTTGTGCCTCACGACTCTCTATTTTAGAAGCAGCATGGTATCAGGCAGTGTAAGGAAGCTCTGCGTTGCTTTCTAATGTCATTAATGGCGATAACGTTAGGCCGTCGGGGCCTACATCCTAACCTATTAGTGTCCTCATGAATGGTTTACTTGCTCGAGGGGGCGCTGAGTATTTTATGAAGAAGTCGAATCTTCCATATGGTTCCCCTAAGCGATCCCAAACCATCTTAGATCTATCTAGTTCTATCATTATCAATCCCCTTAGGCCAATATCTTATCTTGAGGTTTGTTTACCATTTTTCTTCATTTTCTACTGACTGTCTTCATTTTGGGTTTCCCCCAAGCGGTCCCAAACTACCTTAGAGCCATCTAGGCTTTTCATATTCTGCCCCTTCAGGCCTACGTCCCATTTAGAAGACTTGTTCTTATTGGACTGGCTGTAGGTTTTCTCAGGCAGTCTTATACTATTTTAGAGTTTCCTTAAGTTACTTTATCCTTGTTCCAGACGTTCCAGGGTCTCCCATCCTTCTGTATACCATCACTCTTCCTAGGCCATCGTTTGCCAGAGTTTATCTCCACTATGTTGACTGTAGCAATGGTAGGAATGGGTCCTCGTCTACAATCATTGATTTTTCCTTAGGGAATTTTAAAACTCCCTTGTTGATCCGGTCTTGAATGACATTCTTGAATCCCCAACATGCCTTAGTGTTGTGACTCCACGAGTGATAGTACTTACAGTATTTCTTCCCTCTCTGTTCTTCCTTTGGAGGGATTTTATGATTCATAAGTAGGGAGATGAAGTTTTCTTTAAGGAGGAAATAAAAATTTTTCTCTGTTTTAGTAGTAACAAAGGTGTACTAAACTGCATTCGGCCTTGTGGGAAGTTCTCCAGCCTTCCTTACGAGAGCTGGGCATATGTAGTTACCAGCATTCTTTAGTTCTACCACTATGACATCTAGGTCTCCAAAATAGGTCCCTACTGTAGTTGGTCGGTGATGGTCCTCTTTCTTGAGTAGTTCCTCATAACCCCATACCTTAATTGTAAGCTCATAGAAATCTTAAAATTTCATCCCCTAATTTCTTCAGAGTTCTATATTTAGTCCTGCCTGTGCTAGCTTAACGAATTTAGTTTTTAGAAGCGGCACGTGACACCTGCTCCTCAGATATTTGAACCTCACTAAGTATTGGTCTGCCGTCTCTCCAGCCCGTTGTGTGAGCTTGCAGAGTTCTGCTATGCTAACCTCTGGCTCTGCTTTATAGAACTGAATGTAGAACTTCTGCTCTATTTCCATCCAGTTGATGATTGAGTTACGGGGTAGTAACGTATACCATGTGAATGTCAGGCCCGTGAGAGTATTCGGGAACAATCTTAGCTTCAAGTTAGCAAAGTTCTCATAATTAGAAATCTCACCACATTGGATTATGAACCTCCCAATGTGCTCCAGTATTGACTGTGTTTTGTCTCCTGAGAACAACGTGAAGTCTGAGATCCTGTCCCTGAGGGTATGGATTGTCCCTGTCTATATACTCTAAATAAGGTTTTGAGAAGGTGGGACAGCCAATTGGCCTCAACCTTGGTCCATATATATCTTGGATGGCGTCCCTTAGGCCTCCATATTCACTAGTTGGTTTTGAGGCTCAGTTTGACATTCTAGGATCACCGCCGTGCCCCCCATGCTACTCGTGCCAGGTTCCTGTAGATAATATGAAGGATTAACTAAAGGATGAGTATGGGCAAAAATTTAGGGGTTAAAGATGTCTCTTACAAGTGTGCGACCTCGATAGCCATCACTTATATATTGATTCTTGCTTGCTGTCCTCCAAGCAGCTCTACAATTAAGTCTACTTGTAAATGAGTGCCTCTCAATGATGCAATTATGTTCTTCATGCCTTCATGCAGAGCCAGCATCATGATCTGCTATCGTTCTTTCTCCCTGCATTTTTGATGTTTCCAAGGATAATGCAAAGAACCTTTAGTTCTCTTCCAACTGCTTATCCATCCGATCTTGAATTCCCTACAGCACTTCTACCAAAGGTCCATTGGATATGATCAGTGGGTTGGGTTGTCCACTTCCTGACTTTAACCAAAGGCTCGCGTTACTGCTACCTGTTGTCACCGACACTACGTGCTCGTGATGTTCAACTACTTCAACATCGGGCGATAAGTGTTCTGATCCTGCGTACACAGAGATCCCTTTTGGTTCCAATACCTGTTTAATCAGTCCTTTTATCTTTTTGCGTCATTGCCATCTTTGTTACACAAGTCCCACTAGGCGTGCCAAAAATTGTTCGAGGTTGAATAACAAATACTAGGTATGCCAGAGACGCTGAGTCTCAATAAATAACAAAAAGGGTCCCGAATTCCCTTATCACAATTCACTTGGATGTAAAAAGATACAAGGCTTTGGTAGAACAAGTGTATGATTTTATTGAAGTGTAAAAAGATTACAGACTAAAAACTAAAAACTGAAAAAGGCTAACAAATGTAAAATGTGCGAGTCTTGATAGAGTGTTGAGTAGTTTCTTCTGTATTTTCTCTTTCTATTTCTAGTGTAAGAATAGCGGAAGCCTTTTCCTTGAAACTTAGCACGGTATATCGAAGAATCAAGAATCTCGCAAAACTCATGGCACGGTCTCTCCATTTTGATAACCAACCCATTTCGTCAAACTACTTGGGCGTAGATTTCGACATTACTTAGGATCGCGTTTTCGTGCTAATGGTCTAATATTTGCAGCTTACGAAATTTCGGCATGTTTACTTGTTGTGGCTTTTATTGAGCTTCAAGGCTGACGCCTTTTATTTATATTAGACCTAACGCTTTAATTACTCGGTCCAACTAACCTTGTGACCTATTTAAGCGATGTTTCATATTTAGCTCAAACAAAGATAGAAAGGTAAAAATAAATATTAAAAATTGTTTACATATCAAGTTTCATGACAACAATTTTATACATTAAAATTTTAAATGTTGAAGAAATATTTTTAAATATTAACATATTAAGTTTTAATTTTTTTAAAACAATAATAATTACTATAAAAAATAATTATTTAGAATTAGAAGTGTTAGATTTATATGATTGAAAATAAAGTTTTTAAAATTGAAAAATTAAATTGTAATTTTGTACTCCGTCCGTTTAAAAATATAAAGTATTTTTAATCGAATTTCACCTCTAATAAAATAATTACTTACTTTTAAACTAATTTTATCTTTTCATATTTACTTATATTAAATAACCTATAATAAATAAAAAATTATTATTAATAAGAATATTATTTTAAAAAAAATAATAATTATATTTTAAAAAATTAAAAATATTTTATATTTATAAATATTTAATTTTTAAAAGTTTTGTATTTTATTTTTGAACGAAGAGAGTATTAAATTAGAGGATGAAAAGTGAGAGTTGAACCGAATTTAATGTAACGAACCATGGCCAGCTTATCGCACACTCCGTACAGACAAGATGACGCGTGTCATCTGGTTCCCCGGACAACGCGGTTTCATCTCCTTCACCGCCCTATTTATCATCTCCTCCCTCCTCCAAATCTCTCATTTCCCTTCCTCTCTGCCTCGTCGTCCCTTCCCTGCTTCACTCTTCTCACTCTCACCCTTGCTCCTCCTCTCTTCCTTCTTCCCTCCACCTTTCACTTCCACTTCAACTTGTTCGTTCCACACAATCCTTGCTTCTTTTCACAGCATGGCAATAATCATTTCCATTTGATTCAATTAATCTTTTTATCTGTTTTCTCTTCTTTCCAACTGACCCAAAACCAACTATACAACAATGGCGTCTTCGGATAATTTGGCCAGCATCGAGCCCTGGACCTTGCGACCCAGCTTCACTGATTCGCTGTTCCCAGAGGCATTCGCTTGCGACTACCAAGCTGTCACTATAGCCCTCCAGAAATCCCTCTCCGGTTCCTCCTCTGATACGATTCCCCCGTTCCTGAACCTCGTCAACCCTGACACGACGCCCTCCTCCACCGTTTCGGGCCTCTCCGGTTCGGACCAGGAAACGGCCCCAAAACCCCAGAAAAACACTGTTCTTTCTGCCACGGGTAAGGTCTCGAAGCGGAAGTCACGCGCGTCTAAGAGGTCGCAGACGACGTTCATAGCGGCGGACCCGATGAACTTCCGTCAAATGGTGCAACAGGTGACCGGAGCGAGACTGGACAACTCGCCGATGCCAATGGCGCCGATCTCGAAGCCGGAGCCACAGAGACCCCGTAGCCGGTTGCCGAGCGGCGAACTGTTCTTGCCGACGCTGGACACTTCTTCCTTCTTTCTGGATCATCATCATCAGCAGCAGCAGGAGACTGTGGGGTTCACGTCGGCGGCCGGGCATGCAATTTCTGGGCCGGCCCCGCTTACTTTTGAAGCATCCGTCGGGGCGGTCGACGCTGATCTTGAATCTCCCGCCTCGGAGTTCGACACTTACCTGAACTTTCCCACTCACTTTCCGACTCTGGAATCGTGGAAAGTCATGTGAGGGATTCCCCCATTTTTCTGTTTAGGATTTTCGGCCCTTAGGAACAGGGTCGGCGTTAGTGCTCTGAACCCTGATCCGAAAGACGTGTATGAATTCGAGGAAGACGAGGGATCTAGTACTTATGTTCATTTGTGATAACCTTGTCCTGGGAGTATTGGGGGGTATCTGTATCTGAGGTTTCTGACTTGCTGGTATCTTTATTTTAGATTAATCTAAATTCTTGGATCATTTCAAGTTTATGCATTAACAATGGTGTGTCTTGGGCACATTCTCTTGTTCTTCAGTTCTGCCATTCCTTTTTTTTTTTTTTCTTTCTTTCGGTCAAATATTGAACACAATTACGGTATCTACGTATGGGAAGCGATCGGGGTACTCTGGTACACGGAGTTTCTTTTTTAAAAAAATAAATAATAATAAAGCAGATGTGGGCCTCCTTACACAAAGTCTAAATAAATGTTCTAGAAGTTGAGCCAGTACTCTGTTTGTCATTTAAACAAGTGTGATAAATTCAAATCCCAGTTCCTTGATTGCGGTAAACTAGTTGAAAGGATATAGAATTTACTGCTTAATATTTCCATTTCATTTAATGTTGCGATATCATCAGTTGCCTGGATGCTTTACTCAGTCAACTTTGTGAATAATATGTTAGCCTTTACGTACTGTGTCCCCTATGCTAGTGATACGGCCACCATTACTGTCATGTTCGTTTCGGTTGTTTCTCTTTCTCTGTCGTTCTCGTTGGATAGAAATATTGCAGAATGCCTTATCTTAGTTTCTTCATTAACAACCTTTTTGACTTTAATTTTGTATATAAAAAGATCTAACTGGGTAACCGAATATTAAATCCTGGAGCACGTTGATGTCGAAGCTTTATTGCGCCAAGCAGTTGTCAAGTTGTATGGAAATCTAGCCGAAGATGCATGTAAAAGTTGATCGAACGGAAAAATTAATAATTTCTGCTCTGACAATTTCACATACCATAGTCTCCTTTAGTCAAAAGGCATAACAATGCGAAAATAAAATAGATCATGAATTAGGTATGGGAATAATTTGACTTGGGGCCTTGAGATGTCTCTTAAAAAGATAAAATTCTGCAATATAGAACAAATGAAGATTAGATTTTTTTTTCTATTAAATTTTGCAGAATTAGGTATAATATTATGTTTGACTTCTTGTCAAAATAACTTAAGTCAATTTAATATAAAATTTATCTTAATATTATATATTATATTTTCAAGTTGTGTTTGTATTGATAGATTTAGATTTAAATTTTATATTTTATATTTTATATTTTAAATCTCGTATTTAAAATTTATATATTTAAAATATATTATTTGAAAAATTTAAAAATTTTAAATTAAAATAATGAACTGCGATTTGAAACAAAATAAAAAATTAGAAATGATATTTTTATTTTTATTTTTTAATTGACAAAAGATGAAAAAATATACTAGATTTATAAATATATCAATAATAAAAATGTGAAAAGAATAAAATGTTTAAAGTAATAAAAATTTCAAATGATTAGGGTATGAAAGGAATTTGAAATTACTAAGAAATTATAATTTAAAATAGATTTAGATTTAAATTTAAATCAAACCTAAATTTATAAATTTTTATATATCAAAATGAAGAATTTGATTCAAATCTAAACCTTTATCCTCACCGTTTCAATCAAGCCATCAATTCGTTCTTCAATTATTTTAATGTAATACCTTCTAATATATTATAATATTTCTTGGCATGTCTTCACCAAGAACACAAAACAATCGAAACTCAAGGCTCTAATTTTCTCAGAGATTTTCTGACTTTGAGCCATGGAATTGAAGGTATGGCAGACTAAGCGGCTATTTGATTTTCAATTTATATCTTGTAAAAATATATTTAAAGGATTCAATTATTTATTGAATTTGATAAAAAATATATTTTAAATGTGATTTGAATGTGCTTTTAAAAGTTACCCAAAGAAGCTCTAAAAAAATTGTGTTAGGCAAGGGGGAAAAAATATTTACTCTGTTTCAAGTTATAAGACACTTTTAGATAAAATCTCAAATGATAATAAAACTCATTAAATACACTTTATTATTTTACTTTTTTAAAATAAAAAATATAAACTTTTAAAAATACCTTTCATTTAATATTCTATTAATGAAAGACTAATATTAAAGAAAAAGAATATATAAAAAGGATTATATTAAAAAAATATTAAAATGTTTTATATTTTGAAACATTAAATTTTTTTAAAAATATTTTACAATTTGATGCCGAAAGAATAAATAAAATCAAGAATGCGTGCGAGGCCTTCTCTTGCCTGAAAAAAAAAAAAAAAAAAACGTTTACCGCATGTTCCATGTCCCCTTGAAACATCTTGACCCTAGTTTACAAATCACGTCCTTGGTATCACATGTGTTTGTAATTTTATTTATTCCCACGAGGTCGATTAATAAGTCTCCCCACCTCCCCCCCTTTTACTTCTCTTTTCAATTTTACAGAGCAGAACATAAAAGAAATAAATTTGCAGAGTGTCACACGTTTGGTAGACAGATATTCTAAGATCGACGAAAATATCTATTTTCTTCTCTTATGAGTAAGAGATTAAACACAACAAATTATTGCTAATAAATCTCACTTTTCTTACTAGACTCTTTGACATGAGATTTATAATAATGTACTCTAATTTAAGAGCTGACATCCCCGGATTCGTAATTAATAAGCACCTCCCATTAATGTTCTTCCTGACTACATTTCACTCAAGCTACCATCAATTAAAGCCTTTTGTAAGAAGCCTTTTTTGTAATATTGACGTCATAAAAAATAACATTGTTATGAATATAAGTTTAAATGGATAGCTCATAATAAAAAAAGAAAAATTGATATGTTGGATAAAAATTCTCTTAAAACTTAGTGTTTGGACTAAATATGAAACATTGCTTGCTAAAACGTTTTGAGTAGGCCATAAAGCCATATGAACTAAGTGACTGAAAAGTCAAGCCCAATCAACAATTTAAATAAAGGGGCCAACTTCGAACTCAATAGGAAGCCATGGCTAGGTAGGCATGTCAAAATCCCACTAATTGCAAACCCACTTTATGAATTGCTGGTATATAAAGACACGATCTCGAATCTTGCGGGAACAGTGTCATTGTGCTCAAGTATCTCGACGAGACAGACTGGTCACTAAAAACAGAAGACAGTTATTAAAGACCTTGCCATTTGTTTCACAAGATCCCTGATTATTCATAAGAACATTTCATATTATAAGGAAGAAGTTACCATCACTCTATCAATATAAATAGAGCACCACATCACAGAAGGGGACAAGAGACAGCACTCGAAAAACTTACATTTTGCACCTATAGTTCTCAGGTTTATTAATTAATTTTTATCTTCAATTTAGAACTTGTAATTGTTTACGCTTCATAACGTTTTAATAATAATCAACCACTTATTCTATCAAATCTTACATATTTTTACATTCAGATAAATTATAGTAAGGGAGCTTGAGGACCAAATCATAAAACATTTCAGACTATAAGAAAGAAGCTATCATCACTCTGTCAATATAAATAGAGCACTAAATTACAAAAGGGGACAAGAGACAGCACTCGAAAGACTTGCATTTTGCACCCATAGTTCTGAGGTTAATTAATTAGTTTTTATCTTTAATTCAGACTTGTAATCGTTTATGCTTCGTAAAGTTTTAATAATAATCAATCACTTGTTCTATCAATTTTTATGTACTTTTTACATTAGGATAAATTGTGATAAGAGATCTTGAGGACCTTTCGTTATTAATTAAAATTCAGTGTTTCTGACATGCTTAATAACTTGTTACTCCTGGTGAATACTTAAAAACCTTACTTCTCTCACAAGGATTCTCCATGTGAGATTTATGATGTGAAGTCAGACATTTTATGACTTTAAAAATAATATGCTTTGAACAAATTAATAAATTAATATAAAGTTATATGAAAACAAATTATTTACATATCATGTGATCTTTTTTGCATTCCATGCAAAATATAAAGCTCCAGCTAAAAGCTCAAATCAAATGTAATTTATTTAAAAAAGAAATAATTATTTAGTTTTGTAATTTTTATATTATGGCTCAATTCTTGAAATTAATCTGTTGGTTTTTTTCATGTGCGAAAATCATACAATTTTATAGGAATTGGCTTGTGATCAAATTATTAAATAGATTCATAGGAATTGAATTGCATGGAAATAAATTTAAACAGTTAAGTCAAGTCAAAATTTTATCAGTTCGATTTAAAAAATACTAAATAGAATAGAATGTAAAGATTGGAAGAGTCGGGAATGAGACTGAGGAAAGAGGAAGGAAAGTTGGCAGTTGGGGGGTGACGAGAGCAATGACGTAAGTAGTTGAAAAGAGACTGGAGGTAGCTGGCTTTGGATGGGGATGGGGAATGGGATGGGACTGCGGATTCCGTTTGTCCCACCGGCGGCTTTTATTGCTCCCACAAAATTATCACTCTCTTCGTTTCCACCAACAGCAACACTTCAAAAGGATTGAACCCACATCCTTTCCTTTTTCGAGAAAATCACTTTACCACTGCAGCATTGTGCCAATGGCCAGAATTTTGGGAAAATATAATCTTAGCTTTTACAATTTTATTCAATTTTATTTTTAATTTTTATAATTTTATTGAAACTACATAGACTTTAAAAATAAAGATTACTTAATCTTTTTAAAATTATAGAGACTAACAATACTAAAAAAATTATAGAAGTTAAAAATAAAATTTAATAAAATTATAAAAATTGATAATTACTCTATCTGTTTAAAAATGTAAAATATTTTTTGAAAAGTTTGATGTTAAAAAATATAAGATATTTTTAATCTTTTAATGTGTAATCATTTTTTTTTAAAGTGTCCTTATTAATAATAATTTTATATTTATTATAGAATATCTAATAGGAGTAAAGATGAAAAGATATGGTTAATTTAAAAGTAGGTAATTATTTTTTAATGGCATAAAAAATATTTTATATTTTTAAATAAATTTTTTTTTTGGAATTTATATTCGGTGAACATGATACGATGACACAAGGATTTTTTTTATTTTTTTTTATTTTTTTGGTTTTGGCCTGAGATGATAAAAGGAGTTGAGTTGTTTGGTGACGGGTCAAGGGAGGTAGGCTGGGGCGGGAGTACTTGGGAGTACAGTCTTGTTACTAAGTTTTGCATTTGCTGACTCATTCTTCTTTTAGCTTCTCTCCTTCTCACCAATCACCACTTTCTCTCACATCACATGCCCTTCTTCATTCATTCCCTTTTGGTTTTCAAAGAATTAAGTTTACTTTAATTATTAATTAATTTGGTCATGAAAATTTAATTTTTATTAATTAGGTTCATCAACTTTTATAACCATCCACCATTACACCACAAATTTGTTCAAGATTAAGTGTCTCAAGCTAGATTTTAATGAGTTAGTTCTTTTGCAAGTATTTTCTAGTCACACTCCCTGCACCCTACATTTTTTTAAAAAATTAAAAGGATTAATATTGGTAAAAATTAAATTTTAAAAACTAAATTGATAATTGATTTAGATATAAAAATATGGAAAAAATAAAAATCAAACATCTAACAGTGTGCTTAACATTTAAGACATGGAACTTTTACCATTTATGTATGAAAGAATGATAGGCAAGTCCAAAAGAAGAAATTAATGACAATTATATTTTGATATTTTTTTTAAAAAAATAACTACAAATATTGATTTAAACAATTGTAAATTTAAAAATTTTAACTACAAATATGATATTTAAATTTAAAAAATATAATTTTAGATCCCTATATTTTATTTAAATAGTAAATCGTGAGGAAAGTGTTGGGATTAAAAATTATATTTTTTTAAATTTTAATAATAATTAATTTAAAATTTAAATTTTTATTTATAAATATTTAAATTAATATTTATAATTCACTTTACAAATAATTTTATTGAAAACCTAGCCGTGAATAATTCGCTACTTTGGAACTTTATTATTGTTCTATTTTATGTATCCCATTTCAGCAGTAATTCAAAGCTCCGCATCATTACTGTCCCGAGGGGAGGCAATCATAGCGGACACGCTTTGATGGGACCCACTTTAGTCTTTTGACTGTTAACTCCGACAAGTTCTGCCCGCACGGCCAGCGTCCACGTTGATGTTGAGAACTCAGAACAGAAGGATCCGCCCCTTGTTTCCCAAAAAAAAAAAAAAAAATCATCATCATCCAAAAGTGGTGTTCCCTCCGGCAACTCCCAATCCCTTTCTCACTTGGAGATGGGCATCTCGCACACGCATATCTGCCTCACTTCTTTGGATCACATATTGAATATAAGTTATTAAATCGGTTAAATTATTGTTTCAATGATTAATAACTAAAACCATAATCAGATTCCTCAAATACAAATCAATCAAGATATTAATTTAATTAATTACTCCCTCTGCCCCTACATATAAGATATTTTTAACTAATTTCGCACATCAATAAAAATTTATTATTTAATTAAACTCACATAAAAATACAATAATTTTTTAATTTTATCCTAATAATATTATAATTAATATCATGATAATGATAGAGAAAATATATAACGATCTATTTTATTTTTTAAAACAAGAATAAAATTATTTAATTATTTAAAATATCAATGTCACTCCTTATATATAGAAAGGGAGTAGGTTACATGGTTTTCAATGCCATGCTTGTCAACTCTCAAAAATATATTGAGTCTTCTTAATTTATTTTTTTACAATTCATCAAAATACAAATCAAAACTTACTGCTGTACCTCTTAAAATTAAACTAAGCCAGGCTATTTTTTTAGCAAACATCAACTTAAATAATAATAGAAATAATCTTCAAATTTTAAAGAAAGACTTAATAAATGAATCTCTAACACATGCATTCTTCTATTTTTCTAAACTATGATTTATATTTTCTGTTATTTACACTCTTTCTTTTCTTTCTTTTCTTTTTTTTTTCCTGGGTGTGAAGGACAGGCAAAAAGCCCGAAAGTTGCAGACTTGAGAGCACCAAGCTGTTTGTCAGCCCAATGAACGCCGCAGCATCCAATAGGAAGTAGGAAGTGTTATGCACATGGGGAGTTTCCCATCTGGAGTGAATTATCTCCAATTCTCCATATCCCAGTCAGTCTGTAATTTATAATCTACGGCAGGTGTTTGCAAATTACAATGAAGACAAACATAGGGTTGGCGAATGGCCATTAATGTGAGGCGGGAGAGAGAAAGCGACAGCGTTTCTGGTTGACCTAAGTAGTTGCAGGTGTCGGCTAGCTTTACAGGATGCATTGCCCATGTGGATCCTGGACCCCACCCCCATGACATCTCCTCTGACTTCTTCGGTCTTCGTCAAAACTGTCGCCCTCACCCATACCCACCTTTTGTCTGCATCAAAGATTTTACTTTTTACTGTGTCAATTGACGGTTTTACCCCCCTTCTCTGACATCATGCTTGCTTCACTACATCCTCATCACCTAACTCCTTCCGGGGAAGGGAAAAAAAAAACACACACATTCACTTCAACACAAGCACTATGCATCATGCGCTATTATTCTTTGCAAGTCCATCTCCGAATGCTAGAGGCTTCTTACTGGGAATGTGTTCCTGTGGATGAATATAGCCCACCCATGGTTCTCTTGAGCAGAGCACGCCGAGACTTATAAGTTGAAGCACGTTTTACCCCACATGGGCTGCCGTACAGTTTCAGTCAAAGTTAAGGACAACTAATCCTGTTAAGTGGGGAAAGACTATCCAGGAGAAATCTAGGTGAATGTCACAGCCACGCTAGGGGCGCCACTAGGAAAAGGTTCGTGCTAGCTTAGAAATTTACAACTTCATTCCCTAATCGCAAACTCTTCCTTTGGGAATTCTTTGTTCAAATATACACTCTGCAAGTAGCCAACAGTTGTCACAGTCATGAATTAGAGTTCAATTACAGGAGTAAAAAGAAATGCCTGCTCCCTGCCTCTCATAAACTCACTGTTACAGATGAATTTCCAAGGTAAAAGACAACCTAGATGATCCAAGGACTTCTTTTACAATAATATAGCTAGTTGAATCAGGTGTGCCTTTCTAGCGGATAAAGCACCCCTATTTTTGAAGAACTTCTTTATGCGCCTTATATGAAAGAATTACATTCCATATCAAAGATATAATATTAGCAGCAAGGACCTGTAATTGATCCACACAACAGTTATATACATTTAAAAAATGGAGAATCAAATCTGAAGGCAAAGATACAACAAAAGAGTAGATGCTAGACATGGTCGGCTCATTATATCATGTGTCAAGAATACAGTATTTATAGCTCATGGGGATAGAGGTAACACCACCATTCTGCAAATGTAACAATGACCGAGATATCTTCGTTCTTGGAGCATTTAAATTCTACTACAAGAACTTGATTCGAGGTAATTCTATGATGAGTCCACATAGACTAAACGTTTAGGAGGGTACATGTGTTGATCCATGAGAAATCTATCATGACAACAGTAATCGGATAAAAAGAACATGACACATCAACTGCAGACATATGAGAACCATAATAACACCTTATCTTAAAAAAGGGCAACTAATATCTCAATTCGTGCGTATACTTTCTTGAACACCAAACCCCCCTACAAAATTAAACCCCAAAGACACAAACAACAAATGGTGCGAACCAGCAAAGAATAAGGAAACATGGGCCTACTTGGTTTCTGTTTTTAAAAACTGTTTAAAAAAAAATTAAAAAACTTGTTTGGATGAGTGTTTTGAATCTAATTGTTTCCAAAACTGTTCTCATTTTTTTGTTTTTAAAAACCAAAAAATAGAAATATCTTAAAACTGTTTCATTTCTTTTTTTTTTTTTTAAAATACATTACATTTGCTTATTGAAAACTATATTTACTTTGACCAATAATTATCATAAGCCATAACTATTAATCACCGACGACCATCACTATCGAGTATCGACCAACTTTTTAATTCTAAAAATGTTTTAAAATTAACACAGCCAAATAGATTTTTTGTTTTGTTTTGTTTTCAAAAACAACATTAAAAACTGCATTACAAAACGGTTTTTAAAAACAAAAGATGAGAACAGAAACCAAACAGGTATAACAATGTTTTCTATTTTTCCTCATGCATTATTCCCTTTTGTTATACAAATAACAATAGATAGTCTCCACATATTCAACTAGACAGGCATCCAAAAAAATTCCTCTTGCAGAAGACCTCAATTTTTGTTACTCAATATAGGAACCAGTTACTTTCAGATGAGTTAGGAGCTTCCATCCTTCACATTACAAGTCTAACATCCTTCAGAGTGATAAAGAAGAGATTATTCTTGAAGTCAAATCAACACATTGCGTGTGTTTAGCCTGATAGCCTAACCTGGAATTGTTGTGGGACGAATCTAAAGTTGAGAAACTGAAACGGTATCCATAGTTGCCAGTTTGCTAGAACAGCAGAAAACCACTCCTACAAAATGAACTATGCATGAGCATGCACTCTCTAAAACAAGGGAATTATATTCTGGAAAACCATTTTATAAGCAGTTACAAGTTTGAAATGTAGCATCACCTGTTCAAGCTTGGGTATAACTTGTGACGGCTTTCCCTCTAAAGCTACCAACGTAGACAAAAATACTCCAATGAATGTGGGAGCGAATAAGAACTGCAGTCATATTCCACAGCATTAACAATTAAAATGTCTGCCAAACAAAGTAAAACATAGTAGATGCAAAGTGGCAATAGATAGTTGATAGACCAACAAATAAAAATAATCCTCACCTGATCCAGTAAAAGCCGCAAAAATGCACCAGATGCACCAGGCAGAGTAACTAGTTTACTCAGATATAAGTACCTAAAAGATTCATTAATTAAAAAAATAAAAACAAAACAGGTGTCAGGGAAGCTAACAGGTTAATACTTTATAATTATCTTCATAAATTCTTGAAGCATTTTGGCAGAACAAATGCAATCACAGTTTAATATGATTGCACCATTTTTTCTTGGATAAAAATACCATTGCACTAATTGGTAACGATATTGATAATACCAACATGGGTGCAGAAGCATTACCATAAATGCAATGTCGGACCCACTAATACAAAACCCAACAGAGTAAAGATGAATGTCCTCTTGATATCCAGTGATGGCACATGATCTATCACAAGCTGCAAAAAATAAGACCAATCAGAAGAAAATAAAATCAAAACATGTAGATGAAAGAAAAAGCATGCAACACAGCAATATTGTTTTGGAACAATGGACACTACAACTATACAAAGTAAATACATTTTAATGGAGAATCCACTAAAGCTTTTCCCCTACAACAAGCATACTGAAACAATAAGATAGGGATCAGCAAAGAAAACCTTGCAAGGATCCATCCTAGCGTCATATATTAGTCAACTTATAATATATACCATAATGCAAAGATATGAAAGCAAGTATCCATTTGTTTTGTCATGTTTTCATAATTTTCATATCTCAAAAATAGTTCTTATGAACTACACATGCTTCTGCTAGAGTGCCGGCCAGTGGAGGAAGAAAAACATGTAGAAAATTATCAATAGCAACTACATAAGTATTACCTGACAAATCAAATCTCCAATTAATGTCAAGAGTGCAGATGTTAGAGCTTTAACTGAAATAGGATACTTTCCAAGAAGAGCCATGTACCTGTAGTGTAAGTTGGGACTCATTTTCAAAGCTGAGAAAAGCAAATATAAATAGCTTGAAAAGAAAAGGTAAAGGCAACCAGTTCTTGCATTCCTAGACTGGAAGGCATGACTAGATTAAGCTTAAATGTCGCATTACATGGTCCAACCCAAACACAGCACAATAGCAATACAATATTGCCTTAAAGTTAGAATCATAAAGAAAACTTCAATCTTAGCGAAACAAAAGCATCATGATAATTGACTAGCATTTGGCTAGCCTAATATTTCTACTTTCTAGCAACCTCCTGGAACTTTTTTTGATTTCTTTAACAAGTGTTCGGATACCTAAATGATCAGAAACAGGACATAGCCTGTTTTCGACATTTACATCCAATCCGTAGGAGGTTGTTCACAGTGATAGAATGATCAATTGAAAGAGAAAAATATATAATTTGTATAAAGCAGACCATTAAGAGGGAGACCAGATATGTTATAGACAAATGTGAAATAAGAAGTACTGTTAGCTGGAACCTTGGTATTTATGAGCGGAACGAAATGAAAGGCACCCCGGATGTTAAGCTACAACAAAAACTACGGTGACAATAACTGATAATATGCAGTTCAGTGATCGAGTCAATTTTCCATGCTAATGTATTATGAGACATTAGAACGGAAATTTTCACCATTGAATAAAAGAAGGTGGAGAACGAGAAGGAATAAGGGAAGATTGGAAGACAGAGAGAAAGAAGGAAAGTGTTCGCTGGTTAGAGGGAGACACAATCTACTGCATTATTTATCCGTTCTCTACATATTTGTTCATTGTGGCATAGCAATTCAGTTACATGACAATTCTTTCTTATGGAGAAGCTCAGCTAAACGAATAAATTGAAACAATAAATGCGCAGAACCCAGAAGAAATAACAGGAAAAGCACCCTCTTACCATGACAAGAAGGACCACTTTTCTCCTCCACCGCCAGTTTCATCGCTTCCACTGCCGCTGCCTTCGCCCCTCCCACCGGAGTTCCCACTTCCGGCACCCCCATATCCACCAGGACCATCATCCGCTACAGCTGAAACCCGAAAATGATCGGAACCCAGATGCTTAAATCCCACGCCAGAGCTACGCAAGTCCTTAAACACTGCTGCATGGCTACAGTTCAGAGGATAATAGTGCAGGTGGTCTGAGTAGCTTCGAGTCGGACTCGCTCGAATTGGAGTTGCCAGAAGATGACCCTGATGGCGAAAATGTGAAATGGGCCCCCGTGAGAATTTCACGGCACGATAAAAGATTAGAGATTTTTGGGTTAGACTTGGAGCCGCTGTGCTGTACACCATCCTTGTGCTCCGAACAAGAGGGTTTTCGCAGGTTTTGGGTTTATGAATTATGAAGCGGCTACTTTGGAGTTTGGGGTTTGCGCAGGAAGGTAAAAAGTGAAAATCAGAAAATGTGGGAGCTTTTGACTAGGGCGTGTTTGGTTAGCTAGGGCGTGTTTGGTTCAGGAAAAACAATAAAGTAGATGAGAAGGGAGGAAAGGGAAGGGTTCTAATATTATTTTGTTTAATTTTGTTGGAAGAGAGGGATGAAGAGAGGTTTTTAATGATTCTTTATTTGATTTAAAAGAAGAGAGGAAGGAGATAATAACTAATTAACTATTATATTCCTATATATTAATTTATTTATTTTTATTTTTTCATATAGAAAATAATTTTATACCTCAATTTAATTGCATGAATTTTTAAAAATTCACTTTCATTCTATCATATTGTCAATATGTAAAAAAATTAAACCAATAATTGTAATGATAATAATTTTTTATAAAAAATAAATAACTAGATATAAAATAAAATATGATGAAATGTAACTTTTTAAAAAAAAATGTAATGAAGTCAATTGAAATATAAGAGTAAAGTATAATTTGATATGTAGGAGAGTTTTTTTTTTTTAGTTATGAATATATTCAAAATATTAAAAATTAAGTAAGGGCAAAATAGTTGAAGAAACTAGCTTCCTTATGACAAAAACTCTAATTTAAAAGAGAGCAATATCTCCCCTCCTCTCCAAAAATTTTCAATCAAACACACACTTAAAAAAAAACCAAAGATAGGTCATGAGAGGGGAAGAAATGAAAATTACTCGAGTTTTTTCAGTAAAAGATGATTTTGAATAGCAAAAATGACCCAAAAAAATTCTTAAATATCCAATTGATAATTAAGACCGAAATATTATAATTATTATTTAGTTTTGAGAAATTGTCTAACATTTTAATTTTTGATAAAATGATATATTTATTTTCAATGACTATTATACTATAAAAAATTATTATTTTAATTGAGTTATTGATTAAAAAATGATTAATTTCTTCCTACAAATTTGTTTTATCAATCAAGTGCAATCATAGTAATTATTTTTTAAAAAATAATATTTTTAAAATTTATTTATAAATCACAAATTTATAGAAATGAAGAAGTCATTTTCTACTTCAATTCAATTAATAATCCAATAAAAATAATTATTTATCAATATATGAGAGTCATTTATTTTTAATATTTGCAACTGATGAGCAAAACTTGCAGAAAAAATAGTCATTTTATACTTCGTTTCAGTCAACAATCCAAATATATCATTTTGTCAAAAATTAAAATATCTGAAGACTAAATAATAATAATTACTTGTATATTTTGAGGGTGTTCTTTTTTGTTATTCTCCCTTCAATAGGAATATTTTTATATTAAAAATTTAATATATACTAATCATTATTTCAATTTTTAATATATTTTGAATTTCATGTAGTAAAATTATTGAATTTTTTAAGTTTGCTTACGGTGTTGTAAAATTCTATTTCCATCTTCCGGGCCTTTTATGTAATCATTTTCTTTTTTGTTTATCAGAAAAATATAAACTTGACTTTCGGTGAAGAAGGTGAACCGACGGTCCAGATCAAAATAACAGCAACAGCATAGAAACTGGACACAGGGCAAGAGCAGACCGGAGCGCCAGGGAAGGACCTCACGCGGGACTGTCTTATCTTATCCCTTCATCCTTTTCCAACTTCAAAACGATGGCTCTTCTCTGCTTCAATTCCTTCACTCTCTCTTCTCCTTCTTCATCCACTTGGGCCTTTACTCCCACCACCGGTAAGAACCTCTTTCTCTTCTAAAACCAGTATTATTTTTCTCCCTGGCTGCATTTCCTTTTATCTCCAAGTTCAGTTCGCAGGGCCCTTCTTCCTAATCACTTTCCTGCATTCCATTCCCTGTTTTTACTTTCTTCGAAGATGCTGCAGGCCGAATTTCATGATTCATCGACGCGATTCCTTGTTTCTTTTGTTAATTTATCCTGTTACTTAATCTTATGCCATCAAATGGAGAATTAAAGTGAAAATCTGCATTGTGGATTAGTTTCCAGATGGCATCTCAAACCCATCGATCTACCTCCGAGGACTTCGAGCGGAATTCGAATTTCAACAGCATTTCCTGTTAAGAACGTAAGTGATGCCATTGTTAGGGCTGCTTCTGATGCTGCGGCGGAATCTTCAGCAGCTGATGTTGGATCGCCTCCGGAAGGGAAGGAAGAGGTTGTGCCAGTTGACAAACTTCCCTTGGAATCGAAATTGCAGGAGAGGCAAGAACAGAGGTTGAGGATGAAATTGGCAAAGAAGATAAGGCTTCGAAGGAAAAGGCTTGTCCGAAAGCGGAGACTCAGGAAGAAAGGTAGATGGCCTCCTTCTAAAATGAAGAAGTTGAAGAATGTCTGAACCAGAACTAAAGCAATTTTTTTTTTCTTTGCTGGTTTTAATTGTCATTATTATCTGTTATTCGCCTATCAACAATCTCTGTCTCATTAATCAATTGCATTAGTTATATGCTATATAGTTTTCAATTGGTTTTAAAACTCTAGTACTGAGGCAGGCATTTCATTTGGGGTGCATACATCATTTTGATATCTTAATGGAGTTGTTTTCATTAAATCCTCCCAGAATACAAGTGACTGCTGCTTTCAGGCATCCTGGTAAATTCATATCATTATGAACTGTATTTTGGGTGTTTCAACTCTGAGCAGGGATTTGAACTCAAAGCTAATTGATAATTCACATTCCTTGCCATTAGAGCATCACCTAGTGCATATATTTGAAAACCCTTACCACCAATTGCATAAAACTTCGGAGATTTTCTCTTGATTTATTGGGGAAAGTGTGTGTGTGTATTTGGTGACACTTTTTGTTCCCTTGACATTTATCTTTCACTTGTTTTGGAACCTAAATTTGTAGGTGCATGTGTGTACTATTCTTCTTAATTCCTATAGAAAATCGTTACACAAAACTATTTCAAAAAGCAACAAAACATAAATCAATTGCAATACGGCTATATAAAGTAGAAATTGTACGAAACCAAATTTTTATCATGTACAACATACAAGGGGTCAATTACATAGGCAAGAGGCTAGCAAAAATGCCAACCGAGTATAGTTAATCGTAACTTACTGCACAAGACCATACGTGTAAATGCGTTCCATCCCTTTCCCCCCTTTTATTTTTAAATATAGATCATACTTCTCTTGACACTTTAAATAGAAGACTTTGTGGAATAGTCACTCCCTGGCATCTCCAGATTAGTGGATACTTTCAATATATCAAATGAAGAGAATGAATGTGGTGGCAGTATTACATTTATGTCCTTCCCATAAGCCTGAAGCACACTTTGCATTGGCGCTACCTGTATGCATTTTGACAAGAACAATACCATAAGCCCGTTTGGCATGGTTCGCATCTCAAACAGTACTTCGGCCTAGTTTTGATTTTAAATCACAACGATGCAAAAAACGATCTAAATTCCAATAGTTATGTTTTCCATCTGATAAAATTCATGAAAGTTTTCACATATAGATTTGTTGGGAGGGCATGGTTGGATTGAGAAGAATGGAAAATGAAATTTCAATCCCCACAATTGTTGTTTGAATTTAAAAAAAGAAAAATTCTTCTCTCCTTCTCATCCATCCAGCTCAATTCAAACAGAATCCAAAAAAAAAAAAAAACTGAATTTAAATATGAATAGCAGGAAAATTTAAGGTGGAATCCTGAATTCAAATCCTCCAATAAAACCAAAAAATGTTACCAAAAAAAAATCCCCGTCCCCCCCCCCCAAAAAAAAGATTTTCTTGTGCAAAATCTACAGACTATAATTCAAAACCAAAAATTCATGCACAGGATTATATACAGTAAGTGTTAAACAAGAGAGAAGCCTAAGCTACCTTTTTGGGCTGAGAGAAGGAGTTCTCATCCATAACGTTAGCAGATGTAAGCACAGTTTTATTTGCCCAACTCAATTGTGCAGATTTTGGGCCCAGTTCATTGATAGAAATTTTGAAGTTCACCCCGGTGCTTCCAAAGTTCACAACCTGAACAATTGCTCCCGGGTGATTACGGTGCTGATAAAAGCAAAACACTCCTAACATATAACAACATCCACTGATCTTCTGATATAATAGGATGTGTTACTTTGCTCAATTTTATGACAATAACTTTGGACCCTGTTCCAGTTTAAAATCAGTTCTGAGGAAGATTTTCACGCAATTTTTTCATGTGAAATCGAAAATGCATTATGTGTTGGTGTCCTTGATCTTTTAGGCTTTCTCATAACACATGACTCTTCATTAAGAGGTTTATCAAAGTCCGACTGATGCTGTACCACTAAGACATGGCGAATAGAACAGGATTCTCAATTGGGAAATTATGTGAGATGACAAAGAAACGGATGTAACCAACACAAAAAGTCTCCTGTTATGTTACCTTTATTCGTATGTAATTGTTCTTATCTACAGAATTTTGCCAAACAATCGCTGATGCTACAAGTGAAGAAGGAGGTGATGTTTGAAGTGATGAGTTAAGAAGCGTTGCTCCGCTTGACTCTGAGAAAAACTGTTGCACCCAGTAGCTAGGAGTTCCATAAGACTGAAAGGAGTTGAATACAATTGCATCGGGGTTCCACCTAATGACAGAAACCACTTAATTCCAGCATGGTCATTGTCAACAGAAACACCTCATTTTTCAAGGTTATCTCTGAATTAATGTGAGGATTATTCAGGGTATGTTTGGATTATAGAAATTAGTGTTCTCATTCGTAGCACAAAGAAAAATACCTCCTGTTGTTTGCATTCACGAAAAGCGGAGCATAGCTGATCATGTGGACAATATCACTGCATCAGAAAAGAATAAATGAAAAGGTTGGACATGAAGTGGTGAACTGAACTGGCAGCTCAGATCCCTACTAACTTATTTTAACATAATTTTAGGACAAATAGGCCACCTTCATGAGCATGGCAAAGAAATTCCTGGTTACCATAGTTACCATCCCTTCTATGATATAATACTGGCTACCAGAAGGCTTTTAATTAGGAATTGGAATGTTAACATTAATTTTTTGTATAGAGAAGACAACAGGGATGCTGACTACCTTGCTAAGTTAGCACATAGTGTCCCTTGTGATTTTAACTTGTATCTTTTGCCCCAACATTAGGCTTTTTTGCTTCCTTAGGGGGTCTTTTGTCTTTCCTTTCTTGGGTTTTTTCCCTTAGTCTGTAATAGTTTACTTCTTTGTGAATGAAGTTTCCTTTTTACTCAAAAAAGAGGAAATTCCTGAGCTTGAAATGAAGCTCACTTAACAGAGATGATTTAAACTTGACATTAGGCTTGGCTTGCTTTAGCCCATATTTAACTCGTATCCAATATCAACTAGCCATCAGCATCTAAGTATGAACAGAGAGCTAATATGGTCCTCGTTACAAGAACTTATAAAGAATCTAGTAATCCCAGTATATATATGATTTAATATTTTAAATGGTTTACCAAGAATTGTCAGTCCTAGATAAAATTTAAAATAGTAGAAAATTTTTTAAGAGATGACTCAAACCTGTTCTTTTCTAGTCCAACCAGGAATCCTGCTTCAGCTAGGGCTGCTAAAAGGCTTCCCGTCCCTGCGTCTTTTCCGGTCACTGCATACTCACTGACAAAAGCCTGTAGGGAATTCAAACAGCTTGAGCATTCATCCATCAAACCCCCCCCCCAAACACACACACAAAAATTACTAGGAGACTACTATACCTTTGGACCCTCACGTGACGCACTATTAAATACTTGAGCCCTTGAAAACATGTCGTTGGCACTTGTGTAAACCTATTCATATAGAGTATGAGAAGGGATAAAACAAGAAGATCAACCAAAAATGGAAAGGAAAAAAAAAAAACTAAATGTGCATATTATTTCTCAAAATTGTGTCATGAACTAAACCAGAATATTACATGATAATCATAAAAATCAGCTGGGTGATTTAATGGCCTAGAAGAAGCATCGCAATTTGAGATAATTTGGATGTCTGGATAGGCACTTCTGATTGCATTGTAGAACTTAAGGTAGTTTCCTGGCCAATCAAAGATTCAAAAGAAAACGAGTGTCATTTAAATAATATATTAGGATTTGTTCTTAATTATGCATTATAGGGAGATATAGGAAGAACAAAGGACAACATAGAACTAATTTGTAAGGAGGAAAAGCTGCAAATGAATAAACTTATATTCAACTCTCTGTGTAGCACAGCGCACTGGAAAAAAAAAAAAAAAACCAAGAAGAAGAAGAAGAAGAAGAAGCACTAATTCAAGAAGGAAATCAGGTACACATAGGTATTCATTAAAAGTAAATAACACTACCTAAGAGAAATCTTTCATCAAGATAAAGGCACATATGGATTATAAAGGGACTAATAAGAAACGTGCGCTTGCCTTGGTAGTTTTTCTTGTTGCAATCCTCATTCCCGACAGCAACATATTTCAGGTTAAATGGCTCTGGGTGTCCCATATCAGCTCTAACGCGACCCCATTTTGAAGTTGGATCACCTCTGGCAAACTCAATTCCATCAAGGGCCTCCTGCAATCAAGATCCCAAGAGAGATGTTTCCAAGTTCTTAAGGCAACACAAAACAAAAGGGAATGAAAAAGGATTTTTTTTTTCTGGGGGGGGGTGATTATGAAATGATACTTGCACAAAAGGTAAAATGGCAGATGTGTCAACTTCATCATTGTGGCTGATACCTGAAATGAGAGACTCGATCAGTAAAAACAAAAGTTCACCACTTCTTGTTAACAGTCAACCTTATTTAAGATATCAAGAAATACAAATACCATTGTTAAACACCCATATTGGCAATGTGCCAAGGTCCTCTGCTAGCTGCTCAACAAGAAAAAGAAATAATAATCAACTTGTTCAATTTTTACAAAACTTTCCACAAAATATAAACATCCGAATCACATGACTCAACAATTGGAAAGAGCAACCCACTTGAAGAAACTCAAAATAGCCAAGTCCATCATCTGTCCAGTACATCCAAACATCACCAAAGTGCCCAGGTCTTTCTTCCCAAGGTCCAACAGTTTCCTTCCACCTAAATGCATTTCTTAACCATTCTCCCTCAACAAAACAACCACCTAGAGCAATGTTTGAAGAGAAGAAGTTAGCTAAAATACTAGTTACACAAACCGGAAGAGAGAATTAGTAGATGAAATGCCTCAAGATGCATTTCAAAAATACTATTTTACGTGAAATTCATAAAATCAGGCTCAATAGATCCTTTAACACCAAAACAAAAAAGAAGGGAAAGAAAGAAAGAAAAAGGATCATTCTGGCTCTCAAGAACATCCCTCCGTTTTGCACTTCCTTGGTAGGAAAAAAAAAACAAAAAAGAAAGATGGTTGAATATGGGTGCACCTGTTAATTTCTACCACCTTTATTAACTAAAAGAAGTGAAAACCAAAACCTTCCACTTCACAGTCCACTATATTTTCCATTCTCCCTAACAAGCACAATCTAAATCAAGTATATGCCTTTTGGAGAC